AGATCACCTTTGATCACTTGAACAGGTGCATGTGAAATCCTGAAATCTTTTCCAATTAACTATAAATAGTCAGCAAAATGTTCTAAGATCACCAATTCTTTGAGTGTGTTTGGTTAGAAACTTCACAAAATATGTATATTCCCTGTTTGGGTGGAAACAGAAAACTGTAGAATTCACTCATGCACCATCAGAAGGACCGAAGCAAAGACATTCATGCCAGTACCAACACTACCAAAGTCTTTAGAAAAGACAGGAGGTGTTCAGTTCTTGAAGCCATAAAATTGGAAGGCTGAGTTATTGAGACATGAAATTGGCCATACACACGCATATTCATATCACATATAAAGAGAACCCGAAGAACATCTTTTAAAATTCTCTCAATTTTCTCTGCTTGACAATATCCATGATGAAATGTTTGGATGAAAGAGCAAATACTACTATTCAAGAAGCAAAGTAGAGTGAGATAAATGAGCCAAAATATGCATGAGATAGAAGATAAACCCATGTGGAGAGGCAGGGTTCCCAGGGAGTTTTAATACACCACAACTTCACTTTTTAACAAGATATACTTATTAAAGAGAAAAACATTGGGGGGGGGGCGTTGAAAAAAAGAGAAAGAGAGAGAGAGTGAGGAACTGAGGGAGAGAGAAAGACAAAAAATTCTGTGCTCTGTTCTGCAATCATTCTGCAAGTTTCTTTTGTTTTTGTAATTCTGAGGCTGCCTATGTATTTTGGAATTGGTCACATGAAGAATGATGTTGGTATCAGAGAAGGAGCTATCCACTTGAGAGCAAATACATAGAGATATAAGACAGAATCAGGTGAAGAGAAATTCTGAGTACCTGAATTTATAAGATGAGCTTATTAAATTCCATCTTAAAACACACACAATGTCAAGTTCCTTTTCCTGGTCTTAATTCTGTTCTACAGTTATATAAAATATCACCATTACAAGAAGTTTCCTGAGGGAACAAAGGAAACTTCCTGCCACTTCTTATAAGTTATTGTTTCAGAAAAAGCCTGAAATGTAAAACATTGACATAGGGGCTGGGGCTGGAGCTCAGTGGCTGAGCCCTTGCCTGGCATGTGTGAGGCACTGAGTTCGATCCTCAGCACCACAGGGAAATAAATACAAATAAGAAAGGTACATTAACAACTAAGAAATTTTTACAAAAATAAAAAAAATTGACGTAAAAATTCTGCCAGTACCTGAGTAGTTTGTAGTAAGCCAAATTGTGGTTCAAGGTGGACAAGTGGTCCCTTAAAGATGCACAAATATGTGTGAAAAATCAGACCATTTACAAAAAAGGTATTTCTGCTGTCTGAGTCCTTTCTTCATAGATGTGATTGGAAGCAATTAAGAATGATCTCAAAAGCTGTGAACATATTTCATACAGTGGTCAAAACACGGAGTTGCATATTTCAAAAAACAGGCTGAGGCTAAGAATATCCTTCTGATTAAATAAATTTAGGTGAGGATAAGATGTGTAATTGACAACAATATTCCAGATGTTCAATACCCAATTTTAAATCTTGAGGATAAATAGCTTTCAGCCTGACTTATGATGAACAAAAAACTCTAAGGAAACTCAAAAATGCAAGAAAGCATCCCCAAGGCCCTGATGGGAGCCCAGCTGCACAGCCAAAACCATACTCTCAGAGTTTCTTTTTAACATTAAGTCTGGGGGCCCACTGCACATCCTGACAGGAATTCAATTGATCTTGAGCATGGCCTAGTGTGAATTATTTTTAAATATTTTAAAATAATCTTTAATTATTTTAAAATATGGGATTGATGGCTTCAGTGAAGTCTTTACTCTTCATGATCCTAGCATGGAAACATCCTATTCATCCTTCAAAGACACTGCAGTGCTTCCATTTAACTAGCAGTACTCCAAACAAACACAGCAACTTCTGCAGTGCATGCTAATTTGTAGGATGTCCAAGAATACAGAAAAGTTCACTGAGGAAAACAGGGCCACCTAGGGGTTGAATTTGACTCTATCAAGAACTGTTTTGTGTGTCTGTGGGTGGTGCTGGGGGTTGTGAGTGCCAGGCAAGCCACTGACTGAAATCCTCAGCCCTTTTAATTCTTTTTTATTTTGAAACACTCTCTCACTAGGCTGGCCTCAACTTTGTGATATTCCTGCTTTAGCCTCCCAAGCAGCTGGAATTACAGGCATGTACCCTGACACCCAGGAGAAACCAGCTTTCAACAGGCAACCATGTCATTATCCCCTATTCTACATGGCCTTTAGCAAACTCCTCAGAGGCTTTAGACCACAAGTCACAACCTTAAAAGAAGTAGGGGAATTTTGTATGGTACACATTCCCAATCGTGTGCAACTGGATGTATGAGGCGTTTTAGCAAAAATAACTCATGTCTGTCTATATAACAATAATTATTCGTGTTATGATGCATATTATAAGTATATAATGCAATATTATATAATAATAAGCATTATTATTATTATGTACCACTAGAATGGCCATCCTATGTATCAAAAAGAGATGAGGAGTTCCTTGTCAACTGTGTCGGTAGGGCAACAACACAGAGTAAGGAAGACATTGATATTGACCTCAAAGAAAGGGAAGTGGGGCCAGAGATTGGGTCCCACACCAGTGAACAAGACCAGTTCAGACATACAATAAGCACCAGGGATCCCCGAGGCCCTGATCAGAGCCCAGGGGCACAGCCAAATCCATCCTCTCAGAATTCCTTTTTAACATTGAGTCTGGGGGCCCACTGCACATCCAGACAGGAGTTCCATAGATCTTGGGCAGGGCCTAGTAGGAATTATTTTTAAAACTTCCCTGCACGTGACCCTTCTGTGTTCTGAGGTTCAAGATCTGCATAGCTATTGCAAGTCACTTTTTTTATTAGCCTAGAGAAAGGAGGTTCACAGAGGTCTGTAGGTTCTCATAACTGTTCAGTGTCTTGCAGAGATGGTCTGGAATTCTGGGAAAAAACTCAGAAGCTAGTAATGACATTACATTTCTTCAAGTTTCGTTTTCTCCAGCTCCAATTTTCTATCTTATCTCTGCACATGTGTCAGCGCGTGCGTGCGCACACACACGCGCACACACACACATACACACACACACATTTTCCTCTTTCCTCTCCCCATAATGTTTCTCTTCCTGAGTTGCACAAGGGTCTCTTTTGTTTTTTATTTTGAAACACTGTGTCACTAGGCTGGCCTCAACTTTGTGAGGTTCCTGCTTTAGCCTCCCAAGCAGCTGGAATTACAGGCATGTACCTGTAAAGATACACTAAGCAAGGTGGTCAATAACAAACCAGCCTGAGCCAGATATTTGCTGAACCAGAACCAATGACATTTCAGAGCAATGACAGGCAAAACACTCCCTCCCTACTCTGCATGCTATCTAGCACTTTGGGAAATGGACAAAAGTTCTCTACCCATGAGAATTCTAAACACACTATCAAATAACAGATCCTTTCTAATTGATTGACATTTGGCATTTTCTTATAAACTGTGCATCTGATTACTACAGGAGAAAACCTGTCTCATTGATTCAGCAACTTGTACTTATGTCTAGCTTTGCAAAGACCTCCAGGAGGTCCCTGTGGAAGCTGATGGAATTGAAGAGGACTGCAGTGGGGGATGAGCTGGGCAGGAGGGGTTGAGCAGGACCTGTTTCCATCAGGCAGTGTGTCCAGGGACGCTTTCTAAGAGGAAAATTTCTTGATGCTACTCTTCTTTTGCTTCTGCTTTGAAAAGCAGTAAAAGGTAACTTCTTTAGAGGAAGCATTATTTTTAATTTGGTGACTGAAAATAATAACAGCAATCACCTTTGCTTGATGTGCCTCAATATGCCAAGTAGTTGCTGAGTTGCTTAGTGTATAAACTCAAAGTCTATGAACTAAGTTGAGGTTGAGTGGGAATTTGAATCAGATGAAGGCATCCATGCTGGAGCAATAGGGGTTTTTTTCTACCTAAGGAATCCTTTTTTTAAAAGAATATTTTTTAGTTGTGGATGGACATAATAACTTTATTTTATTTATTTATTTTTATTTGGTGTTGAGGATCGAAACCAGTGCCTCATACCATCAGCGTGAAGGAAGCACTCTGCCACTGTACCAGAATCCTAGTTCTCAGGAATCCTTTGTTTGTGTGTGTGTGTGTGTGTGTGTGTGTGTGTGTGTGTGT